CAGCTTTCCTGCTCCTCTGATGCTGCTTGGCCTGCTGTGTTCATCCAGCTGTACACCTTGTTATCTGCCAAATATATTAGATGTGCAATTAAATCATCGATACTGGATCAAAGGATGGTGATCAAAAGATACAGCAATGAGAGAAAGCTTTTAAGGAAGAGATTGAGATGGAGAGTATTCCACAACTTGGGAGGTAGGAAGTTGCATGTATCAATACCAGTGTTGCGAGTCAAAGGGAAGTTGCATAATTGGTCAGAATTGGAGGAGAGAGTTGGGGGACTGTTGTAGAGGCTGAACTAAATTGCATACAGTGAAAAGGCAAGTTGTAAAGCTGTGTAAGCACAGAGGTGTGAATTAAGTCTGAGTTTTCAACTTCCCTTTGAAGACTTTGGCATAGGATAGCTGCATAGGTCAATGCTTTGAGAATGGAAATGATGTAAACCTACTCGATAGAATTTCTGGTGTGAATATTTTGAGTGCTGTTTTAGGTACTGCACCATGGGTGTGTTTTGGCTACAATACAAAAGCTGTTTTGTTCATTTAAATCTATAACATTTACTTCATAAAGGAGTGTATTAGGATTGTACTTTTTCTATGTATTTCAGTTTCTTTGAATTTGTACTATAAGTAGATAGTGTGGTGTTTTTCTACTTTTCCTTTGTTAATAAACTTTGTTAAAACAGAATCTGTAGTATTGTGTAGTGATGTTTCAGTAATAGATCCCTTTGTTAAAACCAAAGCAAATCAAAATTTGTTCTATCAGGCCAGGTTCTGTTCAGAGTCCCACTTGTCTAGTAATAACATCAGCTGGATCATTACTGTATTAAAACTTAGAGGAGAAAATAATTTCTTGCCTTGAAGGAGGGAACTGGACTTTTACGAAGGAGTTATAATGACTCAGCAACTATATAGTTGCTTTTCTTACAGCTGATCCATCGTATTGCAATGAAGTGCTGGCCCACATTTTTTGAAATTTTGACTGAGATGAGCATGGTATCATTGAATCAAATTGATATAAAGAGATCTAGATTTAGATTGAAATGGAATACTGCGAGATAAATGCAGCTTGTTTAACAGCAAGGCAGTGATTTGTAAGAAGTGCGTGAATTTGGGAAGGAGTTGTCACCAAAAGAGTAATGGTTAGGTGAAGAGCTAAAAGTGACGTAAAAATGGAAAAAAAAACATGTGCCACAAAAGGTTCTGGCATTGTGCTAAAAGAGTTTGAAATTACTTCAGATTCTCGGCACTGGGCTGCTGTCAGGAGTTATTCTTCATGCAGTGATGAGTATATGGACTGATAGCGGCACAGCCCAGTTAGGTGGCAGATCCCCAGGACTGAGAACAGAGACACATCCGGATTGGGCCCACCCTGCCTGCTGCAGAAAAATAATCCTGGACAGGGTCTGCCCTGTCTGGCTCCGGAGAGAGACCCCAGGTCTCGGAGGCAGGCGGCAAGGGCCACATGCAGTAATAGGTAGCGGAATGATTCACAGATCCAGCCAGGGGCCGCTGTCCATGCTGCCGGAGATGCAAAATTTGTTGCAATGCAATGTTGAAAATCATCCACTGCTGGATAAACTAGAAGCGTTTTCAACTCCTCCATCTCTTATTACCAGTCTCAAGGATGTTGATTCCACCTGTAGTTAGCCTGAGATTTCTTAAGACACCAGTAACCAACCTTCACAAGTTGATTTTGGATACCCGTGGTCTGCTGCCAACAGTTGGACAGGAACGGGGATCTTCACTGCCTGCAGCTCTACCTTCTGTTGGGGTGACAATGAATTTGAGAAGGTGACCAGTCAACAGGTTCAACAAATGTTCTGTGAGATTGAACTTCTGTTTGAAGAGAAGAAATGTTCTCATGTGCAGAAGTTGGAGAAGTGGTATCAGGAATGGAAATGCAGCTTGTCACATTTTCAAATTTTGGGCAAACAAATAGCCTCTCTTGTTGATGAAGCTTATCGTTGGTATCCTGGTCCAGAGCATGTTGCCGTTCAATTGCTGGCTTCCAATGCGGGCCCTGATGCAGATCTGATTGAACTTTTGTATTCTTGGTTTTAAAATAAAAAGTGACCTTCTCAGATCTTTCTCCATGCGTAGATGGTGACTTTATGCAGAAAATTGTCATTTCCTGGGGAAGAAGATGAAGAGGCAGAAAATGATGTGATTGTTGCTAAAGGCATTGTTGAAGAATACCTAGCATTTGATCGCTGAGAGCTGAAAGACAAAAACTGTGAAAAGAAGTTGGGTCATACTTTGCAATATGAAAGCAGACTGGCGCTACCGTTAGTCCGAGTCATACAGGAGAAGTATAATCATGGCAGAGCTGTTTGAGGTGCGGCTAGAAGTCTTGGGTTCTATGGAGGAGCTGATCTGGAAGCACTGGGAAGGGCACGTTTCAGTTGAAGAGAAGAGCACTGCCTCGGATGAAAGTGCAGGAATCGAGCCAAAAAATTTGTTCTTGCCTCTTGAGCTGCAGTTATCGTAAGTTTGAGTACCAGCTTTGAGCTCTTATTTAACAAAATCTTGGCATTCGTCTGATTGTAAAGCAATGAATGGAGGAGTAGTGGAGGGTAACAAGATGGAAAGGTGAACTCTATTGCAGTAAAATCTTGCATTATATTCAGCATTTCAAGATGGTGCTGGGCATGGTGGCACTTTGCATTTTGCACATGAAAAAATGCTTTTCATTGTATTTTTATTTATGTGACAATAAATCTAATTCTATGTAAAGTAGTTAAAACCATGTAATAAATTAGTAAATGGCTATTGTGATGTGTCTTTCTGGGTTATTGAGCTGAAGTTGGTACATTGACTATCCTCATGTCTATTTGTATGATCCATCCAGCTGTGTAATCAATTCAGAATTCTAAATGGATCACCGTGATGAGAAAACACAACACAACATAACACCCATCTTTTGAATATGGTTTGATGATTAATTATGGGGATGAGTGGTATCCATAAGTATGATGAATGGTGGTAATGTTTTTCAGAATTTTCAGATAAGCTACATTGCTTTTAGAGAATGGTTGATCCTACAAAAAGATCAGTACTACAACTATCTACTCCAACTTAAATAAAAGATGTGTTACTTTTTGCTTCACGGTTCCATAAGGAACAAGTTACCGTAGAACCTGAAAGTAGATCTTATGCTGCGTGTCAGTTTATCAAAACGATCTCTGTCTTTGTCTCTCTACACACACAAATCTTTCTATAACTATTTACAATGTCTAAGTTTGCTTGTCATATTAAAGTTTTCATACCATGCTATATCTGAAATCCACTTTTGGAACACCAAGCAGGTTAAGGTTGTACGTGTACACTTAGGCTGGGGAGAGAGGTCTACACAGTTTGGTATGTAGCATAAGGTGCATGCAATGAATGTTTGGCCTGCCAGTTAAGAGTAAATGCTGTTTATATTATAAATTTTTATATACAGAAGTTAAATATTTATATTTAAATTATAAATCATCTTGAACATACTCAACAGATTAGCCAGCATCTGAGAAACAGACCAATGTTTCAGTTTGACCTCTTAACTGAATTGGAATGATAGATGAGTAATAGATTTTAAACAAGAGAAAGGGTTAGAAAAGGACATGAGATTCTGTGATTGGATAAGAAGATAGAAGCAATTAAATGACAAAAGCATGCAAGGGCATGGTTGTGGGACATGTTATAAAAGATTCTGATTGAGAAAGCACGAATGGCAAAATGATCAATGGCCATCTCCCAAAAGCAAAGATTACAAATGAAAACTGCAAAATTCGATAGGTTGTAAGGCTTTCACAAGCTCGTGTTGTGTTCCGTTGGAACACTGTAGGACTCTTAAAAGCAGCAGATCAGGGTGAAGATAAAGTCGCCATGGCCTCAGAGAACCATAATGCTGCTGTCTTTTTGAAGAGAGACAACTGATGGTGGTTTAACCTGGGGGTCACCAGGTGAGGGGAGAGGTTGAGAAGGAGATACCTTCATGATAACCTGGTGCAGGATTTAACCCATGCTGTTGGCATCACTGTATCACAAACCAGCCATCTAGCCATTCGATCAGGGTAGGAGCAAAGTGGAGAGGTTAAATTATAGGTGTTACAGTGATTGTCAGTATCTTCCAGAAGTACAACACAAATGCAAGTTTATTACTATAGGTTGGCCCAATTCCTGACTTCAAGTGACTGAATTGATCAGTTATGTACCCCTGTATTTTTGTAAGTTGTGAACTGAGGTTGAATTAATTTCTGTGAAAACTTTACACATTTTATACTTTTTAGTGAAGCGTTTGCATGATATTCTATTTGGGTATCAGTTTTGTACACCGAATCAGATAATATTTTAGTAGCTTGTAATGTGGCTTTTTAGTTGAATCAGGTCATACGTGTAAGATTGGACTATAGAATTTGCTTTGCAGACAGCTGTGAAGGTTAGGAATATTTCCAGTAAAATGAATTACTGTGTACGCTGTTGAAATACATTTATTCTGGTCTGCCAAACCCCTGGAGCAACGTGTCAATATGTTTCAAATATGGAAAACTTAATATTCATTCTGAGTTAGAATACAATAAATTGTTCCTGTGCTTGATAATTGCTTGAGGCGGTTGTCATTTATACTGGAATCTAGGAGGCTTTTATGTCTAATACAAAATATAGTCAATTAATAGTTATTGTTATGCTGCACATTTTATACGGATGACTAAGGATACAATTCCTTTTAGCAAGTAGTTCTAATTCCTGTTTTAAAGGTTTTGATATAAATTAGTTTTGTGAACTCAGTTATTAATTGTTTTCAAAATACTTTGTAGAAAATCTGCTACGATTGCTGTAAATCAACTCCTGACCAGTTTATACTGAAAAGATTTATAACTTCTAAAAATATAGAATTGTCATTTTCACTTGATTGGAACTTTCTTGCCCTTAAATTTGAGTGTCTGAAATGGTGCTCCTATAAAGTTTTCGGTGAATGATCTAAAACTAAGTAAGTTTGTGTTGATTTCCTCTTGCAGTTTACTTAAAGAAGGTTCCAAGATGTATGCACAGTCAAAATCAAAAAGAGCCTCCAGTTTCCATGAGTTTGCGAAAAGCACCAGTGACGCTTGGGACATTGGGGATGACGAAGAAGAAGAGTTCATGTCTTTTGCTTCCCAAAGCCTTAATTCAAAAGTTGCAATGGCAACAGCTGCTCAGGTCATTCAGAACCACAATAAATTGAAGGAACCTCCTGGAGAGAAAATGCAGCAATCTGAATCGTTCGATGAGATTAAAAGGAACGGCAAGGTGGTAAAATCGAACAGTGAAGTACAACTGTCAGTGTCTTCGGGTAAGGATATACTTGTGTTGGCATAGTTGGAGTAATAAATGTTCTTGAGCATTGGAGATGATAATGGTTAGGAGCCCTTTATTTTATACTGCTTTTTTCTTTATTGATTGCTCTTTGCCCTTTGTTCATAAACAAATATAACACTGATAACTTGGTGTACCTGGTTTATTCAAGCACATGTGCAGGTTAGACTCTTCTTAAAAATGTATATAGCTACTAATAAAACAGACATATGTTCACAATTAAAAATAACTTGCAGTGTTGTAGACACCTGGGAACCACCAACACTTGCAAATTGTGAATTATGGATTGCCTTGAAAGCACCAAGTTTGTTTGCAACTTAAAACATGGGACATGTAGGTAAGCACGAGGTGGCAATTAAACTGGCTTTTGTAGATATCATTACATAATATTAATGTGGCAAATAAATCACCATTTCTGGGATGAAATCTTGAATGGCTGTCTTCCAGGGATATGTTTCTTTATGCATTTGAGCACCTACTGGTATTGATGCTGTGTGTGGAACGTACATTCTCCAAGAGCCGGGATATACCCTGGTCTGCCAAGAACCATCAAAGTAGAATCTACTCCTTTCAAATCCTGTGAAATATTATCAGATGTTTCTAATTTAAAGGTTTGGAGATTATAAAAGGAGTCATGCCGGAGGACAACTTCAGTTAATCTGTAAGCAGAATGTCTGAAACCCAACCAAAACCCTGAGGCTGAAGAGAATTGGGAGAAAGAAAGTGAATCTGCAATTGTCTCACTTCTCCGGTCAGCTACTTGTGAAGTCTTAACAGCACCCTATCCATGTCATAGTATTTCAAACTGCAGCTGGTGGAGGGAAGGCATCTGGGCATGAGTGTACAGGACGTCAGTCTCCCCAGACACTTTTTAGTCCTTCATCAGCTGCCTCGCCCGGTGTACACAGATCCCAGGATCAGGTTATTCCTCCTCATTTGAAAGAACGATCCCACAACGGCATTGAACTGGGAAACTCAATAAGCAGAAAATGAGTTGAAATTGTATCTTGTTGGCAGATTCCCAGAAATGGGCATAATTGCAAATGAGTGAGGAAAAAAATGAATGTCGTAGGAAGCATTACTAATCCTGGGATATTTGGCTCATTTAGTTGTACATTCATCCATTTCTAAAATAATGGTTTCTGCAAGTAGAAGGACACCTTTTTCAAGTCCATTAAATGTCCCTAATTTACAGGTTTCACTAGATATATTTCATTGTAATATTACCTAGAATTATTTTTATTTTTTCCCCTGAAAAAATGAAATAACCTTAATTAAGAATAATCGTCAAACTCCAATATCAGGATATTGAAATTGTAGTGTTAAGAACCTCATTCAAAAAAAAACTTAATATTGGAACTGCAAAATTGTCTCAAATATTTGCACAGCACTACTATTTGACTTCTAATTTGCATGTTACAAATAACCGGGTGTAACCTTTGTATTCAGAGGTGTGGCATGTGTACTGTTCTCCTGAAAGAAAATTATAAGGACTCCAGTTGTAGTTAATCTTTTGTACTTAATGGTATTTGTGATTTAAGTACTTACTTGTGAAAACTTCTTTCAGTGTATTTTTTCTATTTATCCACATCAAGTTTAGTTGTCTAAATATGCTCGATTTAACATTTATATCCACAAATAATTCAAGTGTAAAATCTAATATTTTTGAATGTCCCGTGGTGTAGAGAATGGAGTTTTAAGTGTTTTACTATTTGGTACATCTTCATGATGAATACATGTGAGATTACTGCAGAATCAATGACAATGAGGTTCATGTTTCTGAGCAGGTTCGTTTGCGAATCTGATATTCGGTATCAATTAATGTCTAAACTGAGGTTATATATTCATCAATTAAGCTCAGTTGGTGCTTATTAGTGCAGGTTTGTCTTTGAGCCCCGTTGCAGACATAACCGTAGAATCCAAGTTGTGAGTGTACTGCATTGTTGTGAGTACCGCCATTCAGTAGAAGTCATGGAATTGAAATTTTGTCAGCTTGCTCAAGTGGATGCAAAGGATCCTCTGATATTATTTCAAGGAATGTAGGTGGTTTACCCTTTGTCTTGACCAATGTTCCTCCATCAACTAATTGCACCAAAATCAGATAATTTGTTTACTATTTTCTTTGCTATTTTTGGGCATCTCTGTGTGAATTGTTTGTTTATTTATTTATTTAGTAGTATCACCTCCATTTCAGGAGCAATCCATTGATTTTAAAGCATTAAGGATATATAATGGTAAGCAAATTCTTTCTTTTTTTCTGTACTATACAACATTGGATTATTTTCACTGCCTTGCAACAGATTTTTGAGTAATTAATATAATGTTCATTTCTCAGCGATCACAATTCTTCTATCCTGCGAGGCATTGCATTTTGTCATAAGTCAAAACAATCTTCACTCAATTGTCACACTCATTGTAAAAGATTTATTGGTGGATTTCCTCCTTGCATTTCACTAACAGTTTGAGGTAACTCAGCGAACAATTGGGTTTATCACAAATGAGGTACAGTAGGATTCATAATTCTTTTGATTTATTACAGATGGAGATTGAATTGACTACTGTCCACTCCTTCACTGGCAAGTTTTTAATTGACCTCACTTCTCCTGTTCATGTCTCAGTCGATCCTTTTGAAAGTGCTAATAAACAGGGAATGAAGTGGCGATAATCTTTGTCTGAGTGGTTATTGGCCAGGGAGTAATTTGCTGGTTTGGGAATATGAGCAATTGTGTTTGTGCTTTCACTTTTCACAAGGCAATGTAACATCAAGTAGCAACCGAAATATACTTAATGAAGCATTAGGAATTTTGGTCATTGATCAACTCAGTGCAGATTTCAACAGGAATAATTACCTATTGACTCTAAAAGCAGGCACAAGTCTATAATATGGAATTGAAGTACTGTTGCTGCCAGTTGGAGTGCCTACAGGCTGAGGTTATGGCACATAGAGGTGCATTTCAGTATGGTTAATTGCATCTTAAACCTACCTTTGGTAAAAGAAATAATTTAAACATAGGGCTTTCTCAATGTGCTGCGTAGTTTCCATATTTACTAAACCTGTAAGTTTGACATAGCTTCTAAACGTATTGAACTACGTAATATAAATCACAGCTGTTTTCCTCCTGTCATCCCTTCTGTTTTTCCTCTATTCTACCACAGCTGAGAAACCTGTTGCTGTGCTTGCATTTGTCTGACATTAAACATTACTCTCTGTGTTGTAAGGATTAGGATCTGGGTAGCCAACATCCTTTTTGTATTTTACTCAGTAAAAGCCCACCTTGAATTATGCTTGTTTTGACTTGGGTGCGTGACATTATGAACAGTTTGTTGTATCTCCAGACTATAATTTTATGGCTAAAGCCTTAGGGCAGTGTTAAAGGTAATGAGATTGGAGAATGGAAAGCAAAGTTGTAAAATCTTCAAGGGTAATGACTGTTGTTTGTTTGTTTGTTTCTTTGCCATTTGGATAGAATCCTTTTCATAGTATCCCTATAGTGTGGAAACAGGCCCTTCAGCCCATCATGTCCACACCAACCCTCAGAGCATCCCACCCAGACCTAACCCCGTATAATCCACCTAATCTACACATCCCTGAACACTACAGGGTAATTAGCATTGCCAATCCATCTAGCCTGCACATTTTTGGACTGCGGGAGGAGACCAGAGCACCCAGAGGAAACTCATGCAGACATGGGGAGAATGTGCAAACTTCATATACAGTTGCCTGAGGGTGGAATCGAACCCAGGTCCCTGGTGCTGTGAAGCAGCAGTGCTAACCACTGAGCCACCATGCCGCCTCTGACTTTGATTTTACTTTACTTTGACTTCCTTAGATTTATTATGACATGTGTATCCTGACAGAAAAGGAGTTTGGAGTTGAATGTCATTCTTACTTTGTCCCAAATGAAAGCCAAACATTTTAGGTGTTTCAATACGCCAGAAACTGCTGGGAAGGTAATGACAAATTAATGTGCTCACCTGTTTGTTAAAATTGAGCCAATTATCATGCAAAAGAGATGTCTTGAAAGTTCCATTTTGTCTAGGAGTTTGACTAATTCACAAAATTCAGCCCATAGCTTCAAGAATTCAGGAAGAATTACAACTTTGCTATGAATCTCCCAGTGACATTCATTTTGTGTCATGAATTTGGATTTAAAATGTAATGTAAATTAACATGGAAAAATGTAAATGTGTGCCAGTGGTCTGCTGGAAGGACTGACCCTGAACAAGCATGCAAGGTTCAGTGAATCTGGAGGATGCCGATGTGGATGTCACTGGCACATGGACCCTGCGCAACCACACCCACCCCACCTCCCGGCCTGGTGAGCTGGCAGTGTCTCAGTAATTTTGATAATAGTCTTCATAGACTTCCACCGCTGCCCTTTCCACTATAGCCTCTGCACTGCCCCAGTGCACCAGCAGCACAATTCACAGGTCAATCCAATTATTTGTTGCTTTTAGAGTCATATAGCATGGAAACAGACCCTTTGGTCCAACTAGTCCATGCCGTCCATGTTCCTAAACTAAACTCGTCTACGCGGTTTGCATAGTGGTACAAACAAAAGGGGGGGATAAGCAAAGAATTAAAGTCAGTGGTGGAACTTATAATATAACCTAGAACCATTCAACAAATCAACACACGTGAGAATATGAAACTACTTATTCATTGACAGCTAGTGCAAATCCTTAGTACTTTCTTAACTACAGAACATAGTTTTGGCTCTAAATATTTGTATATCACTGCCTATTGAATTGAGTCGTAGACTGTGGTAGTAAACATTTTTCAACTATCTGATGTTTACAAATGCCTTCTCGGACTGATTTAATGGCTGCCGCAACATGTTTTATCACCAAGGCCAACAAGTGACAATGGTTGTAACTTTTAATATCATAATATAACACTGTTTACTAGACTGATGGAGCAGCAGGTACATGGAGACGTGACCACCTTCAAGTTCCCTCGCAATCCTGATGTGGGAA